TGTCTATATATATATATATATATACGAGGAGATTATAATAACACCGGTGTAACTTTTACTAAGTATTACATCGTTCAATAATTTTATATTAAATATGAATTTTGTAAATCTAACTGTTAGATTGAAAGTTCTTTACTCTTAGATTATATATACAAAATTTTATATTATCCAAGATAATTTGATACTTTATTTTTATAGTGCTTCCGCATTCCGCTCATTCTTTCTGATACCCAACAAAGTATATATAACTTAGCCTCAATTTGGCTTGATACAGGTTCTGACACAATAACATATAAAAATACTGAAGCTGACTTATATACAATGTAACTCTCAGACTGTTATGGTAGTCATTACTCATTAGATCTCATTAACCAAAGTACACATGTGATCCCCAACAACAGAGGCTGCATAATTTAATGAAAGTGGGAAATGAATTCAATCATATGAAGAGCAAATCAAATTCACAAGACACTTACGTGTTCTTGAATGGAGTTAAACCAAAGCTAGGGAAGTTGTCAAATTCGCATGAATTCCCAATACCACTGAAGAACCACTTAAAGCAACTCCAAAAGAAACTTATGCTTAGATATTTCCAAGCTGCCGAACTTGATTTCTGTAAGATTCTCATAGACAATAGATTAATATATATTAAAAGGAAGAAGATGGAAACAAAATAATCAATGCATAAAAAATTTAAAGGGGCTAAAAGGTTAAAGGTGTTGAAGCAGGGGAGAGTTATGACAAAATTGGGCTTAAATTTATTAAAGCTGTTATATATCTAAATGTGAAAAACAGAAAGTGACAAGTGTAATTACCGTGTAGTTGGATTTGTACCAATCTCCAATGAGAACAGTGTAATCTCCAGAGGGATCAGGGAAGGGTACTGGAATTCTTGGTCTGCTGAGAATCCTGATGCCTCCGAAACCACCTGCGGCTTTGTGGAATGCAAGAGATGGGAAGTAGTAAAAGCTCCCAATTTGATCCTTCACTTGAAGTATGTATGTGAAGCTCCTAATTAACATTAAATACAAATTTAACATTATTTATAATTATTTTAATTTTTAAAAAACTCATAAATATCTATGAATAATTGTAAGTATTTACAAAATGGATCCCATCCCTGTTCCTAATTACAAGTCTATAAACCATGTTAAACTAGTTTGAACATCGTAAGCAAATAGTATATCACAAAAATATAACAATTTTAATGAAAATGAGAAGTTAATTGTATTTTCCACTCTTATGCCATAACCTTAAGAAACTTAAAAAGGAACTAAAATAGTATATGTATATATGAAGTCATAAAACTGCATCAATAACAACATATAACTTGCCTGATAGTTGCACAATATTTCAATAGAAGGTTTTTTCTACAACTGAATGCAACCAAGCTGTTATCACTCTGTCATAATAGGTTTGTTCTCACTGGCTTTGGGTTTCTGCTCTTTAGGCTTCTGCTCATCAGTTTTCCTGACACAGTTCAATTTGATTAACATTAACAACATAGAATCAGAAACAAGACCAAGATTATATACTACGAAAAATAACAATCTATCGCATCACAAAAGAGAAATGAAGTTCAGGCATCATTAATGCACATCTATACAGGAGCATCTTTAACAACTCTACCTGTTATCCACACAGAAAAATGAGATTTAATAAAAATGGGAAGCATATAGCTTCAGAGTTGAAGTTTGTAATAGAAAAGTGTTTTGATGATATAATTTTCTTTAAAAGTTTCTTTAACTCAGAAGTACATTTGTGTTTAGAATTGAAGAATGCATACTTCAATTTTCATCCCCCCGGAATCATCAAATACTCCCTAGAATTGAATAGCTCTCCTAAAAAATAGTGCACGCATGAAGTACAGCAAAATCAACCATAGAGTTAAATATAAGATGTCTACGTCATTTTGTAACAAAAATTGTTTAAATAAAGATAAAGCTCTCAACAACCATTTGGCTAATTTATAAGTTGCCCCTATACAAAACTAAAAAAACTACTGACATAAAAATTAAAAGGCAGACTTATCATGAGGTCAGAACCATAGAAACAAGAGTAAATGAAGTCAAATTTAACAACAATATCTGATCAAGCAGTTTACCATGATTATAAGTATCCAATCAAACAAACAACACAAGTTATTTAACAAATCAAGATGAATGTGTGCTGGTTGACATTAATGTACTTAAACCCACCAAATTATTGTGGAAACTGCACAACAGAATACCCTGTGATCAACTGAAAAATATAAACTCACTGCAGAAAATCTACATACAATCTTACAGTCATCATAGTGTGCCACCAATAGCACAATAGGATTTCACTAATTTCCATGATTACAAAACTATAACTCCTTCCATGGCAATGAAACCCAAAGTTAGCAACCACATAATAAACTAAATTAGTTACAGCAAAAAAAAAGTACCACTAATCTTCGTTAGCAAGTGTACTGGTCAGAAACAGACATTGAAGAGTATGTTCAACAAGTCTATTTACCTAATGTATAATTCTATATTAACCTTTTCATAATCTTGTTCATTAATTTGGAATACTTCAAGCAGTCCAACAAAAAAGTCCTCAGTGGATCCCAGACTCCGCATTCAATCATGTTACCTAAAACCTACCCCACCTTAGCAGGATAAGGCTTTCATCATTGCTACTTGCTACATACACCATAAATAAACTTACTAATAATTGTCATTCTGATAGCATTCATCGGTAACAGCTCCTTCACTTATCACATCCATCACAGGTAGCATACAACCACAATGAATGCATTTCAAGCATAGTATTTTAATCAGGATACAAATTGTGTATCAGATAGCTTATTTTCCAAATCAAGAATCAAATCGTGAATCGTAATATCCATGATCAATAATAAAACATAGCATATACATATAAAAGACACACAAAAGCACTCTAGCAGCATTTTATCATAAATAAACATATGAAAAATGACCACACTTATATGTAGAACCAGAAGATTACCACTTAAACAGTTATGCAAAGCCACTTGTTGAGGATTCAAATTTATTTTTTAAAAAAAAAAATTTCGTAGCGCAAGTCAATCCAACACAAAACATTGTCCCACGAAGCATGTCTAAGTCTAAGTGTGTCTGTGTTCCTTCATTTCTTATCTTAAAGGATTAAGTAAGGAGAAGCATACGCCATAATGAGAAACTAAAAAACAAATATAAAAAAAATAACAATCATGCTAACTTCCTAATTCAACAAATTCACACAGAGTAACGAAGAACAAAACAAAATAACAACGCCATTCTCCCTATTCTCTCCAGCAACTCAAAAACCTAGAGTCATTGACCCAGATAAAAAACAAAAACAAAAACAAAAACCCTTCAATGAATTACAGAAAAAAAAAATCACAAGCAGATAAGAAAAGATAAAAACTTGAAAATAATCGCATTGGAATAATAGCCCACGATTGAGATTGAGATTGAGAGAGAGAAAATGAGAGAGAGAAAAAACCTCTTATCAGAGGAGCTTCCCTTTTGGTTGAGGAAGGATCGGAAAAGAGGAAGGGGGAAATACTTCGTTTCTGAAATAATGTTAGGGCAAATGCTTTTTGGCTTTGTTATTTGTTTCGTTGCGAGACTGAACGGAACGCATGAATGGAGGGGGAAGGCACAAATTTTGGGCCTCCATCTAAGTCGATTTTACACAAAAACCGTTGTAGATCACTTCACATCTAAGTCAATTTTACCAAAAACCGTCGTAGATAGTATTGACCTCTTTTATTTACAAAAAGGCCACTGCATCTTATTCTACATCGTTTTTCAGTAAACCGACTTAGATTGAGCGACTTAGATTATTCTTTTTGTAGTAGTGCTCGCAACCAAGAAGTTTTCATCTCTAAGGTGCCACTAAAAGAGGATGTTGATATATTGAGTGTTGACTCAAAAGAGGAAGTTAAGCTTGAACGTCTGATGGAATAAGCCATCATAGGCGAAGAGTATGTAGCACCCTTATCTATGACTCCACAAAGAGGTCCCCATACTTCAACATGAAGAAGCACCTCTAGATGTGTTACTGCGAGAAGTAACTCATCACCATCCATCCTAGAACATGCACCATCACTCATGTTTGGCCCATTGATCTATATGGTTAGCAATTTGTCCCATTGATCTGTATAGTTAGCATTGTTTGGATGATTAAACCTTGTGAATCATCAATCAGCAGCACCACAAACTTGAAGATGAATGTCATTTCAAGACTACTTTGGAGTTAAGTTATAAGGGAACCCCTCATAATCTTCCTCTAATGATTGGTGGGCCAAGAAGACCATGCATGATCCAACCTTGGACCAAATTCTTCCTAACTGAATACAAGACCAAGGTTGTGCAACACTTTGTCTGCAAAAGGGAGGAGAAGAAGGTTAACTACCTTAAGGATGTAAGGTATATGAGATCTGCTCAATGCCATCAGTCTTGGGTCTCCAGTGTTGATAAGGATTACCCCTTGTATGCAATGCGAACCTCCGCTCGATAGACTCCACCATCTATAGTCGCTCTATACTCTGACAACAACGCTCTCTACCAACCATGTCACAAATTTCATTATGACATTCCCTATAATTTTCAATTTTTTAGGCATTTACCTATAGATATTGTTTTCTTTTATGTTTTTTCTGAAAGTTCTCCCCATCCCAATCCACCTGAACCTGAACCAGTTCAATCTACTCATGAAGACACTTTGACCCTACTGGTCCACTTTCTCATTCAAGCCCTCCTTGTCTCCATTCAAAGGCAACGTTGGTCTGAGTGTAAATTCTAGAAGCTAAATGTAGAGATTAGCTCAATGAGGACTCTGGTTAATTTGGACTAGCTTTTGCTAGTTCCAAAAGGAGTAGTATTTCTTTATTTTTAGCGCTTTCTTTTTGCTTTTGCTTACATACTCTTTTTACTTCATATTTTTCTCATCCTTATTCACATTGTGCATTCTTACTCATTTCTCAGTCCCTTTTTTGTTTGAGGGCTTGATCCTTATATAATAGCTTCAGAGAAAATGACCATTGTAGCAACGTTCAAAATTTAAACATTCAAATTTCCCTGAATTACTTTGTTTGTCTTCCCAATTGTTCTTTAGAGGGCACTGTAGATGCATTTAATGTGAGCATTAAATTCTAATCAGAGATGCGTGTATCCCCTGTCTATTCTAGGCAGCTACTTATCATCTCTTTCTTTTATTTTGAGTATGACAGAGTGGTGTCAGAGCAGAGTCATTCTTTTCAATGTCTTGTCCGAGATATCAGAGAAAATGATCATTGTAGCAACATTCAAAATTTAAACATTCAAATTTCCCTGAATTGCTTTGTTTGTCTTCCTAACTATTCTTTAGAGGATACTATAGATGCATTTAATGCGAGCATTAAATGCTAATCAAAGATGCGTGTATCCTCTATCTGATCTAGGCAACTAGTTATCATATTTTTCTTCTGTTTTGAGTGTGATAGAGTGGTGTCATAGTAGAGTCGTTATTTTCAATGTTTTGTTCAAGATATCTTGGATTTTCTTTTTCTATCCTGACACAATGATTTGACGTTCCCTTTTTGAAAGCTTTCATTTTCTTCAAGAAACCTTCCTTATTCGATTTGTTAAGGAATAAAGTATTAATGCTTCATCAAGGAATAGTCTAACAATATAACGAGAAATAAATATGACATTTATTTCATATCATATGTTTCATCTGGTGTGTTTCGTCTTACAAACAAAATATGTCAGTACTTCATTTGAAATGCTTTCTTTTGAAAAAAATTTAGCTTCTTGTTTGTTGTTTTAGAGAAAGTCATTTTATGAAACTTTAAGCATATCATCTAATCGTCTTACTCAATAAAACCTTTGATATGATACAAAAGGTGTTTTACTCTATAATTGTTATATGACACGAATGATCCTCATTATGGATCGGTGGTTTAGAAGTGTTTTAAGTTGCTATGTTTGCTTTCTATTAATCCTTGATACAAAGTCGAAAGTATTTTAGAAACTATATGGACATCATATAGAGTATGTATGAGTGAATGTTCTTTGTACTCTTCTAAGAAGAAATAAAGTCATTCTTACTTACCTTTCGTGTGTTAAGTACAAGATTGATTATCAAAAGACAAAGGTCTCATCATTTTTGTATAATTACATTGTGATAGATTAATTAACATGTTTAATGAAAGTACAATTTATGCATCTCCTCCACCATTCACACCACTAATTTTATCCACATCATTCATGCTAGGGTTGATGTGGGTTCCGTTTGTCGAAGATTGACTACTGTCACCTACCCTCACCTTAGTTGCCTTCTAGTTGACTTATCTATTTTAACGTCTGGGTAGCAACATGCTATGTGACCATATTTGTCACATCGTTTGTAGATCAAACATAAACATTCGTACTCCACATGGAACCAGTGCTTACTCAACCAAAATTTCCCCATAACTAGTTGATTGAGATCTATTTCAATACAGACCCTCGCGAACTTTCCACATGATGCATTGATTGTTCTCATATCAACTTTAATTGGCTTTCCCACCATTGTAGTAAAGGCCAATAGGATGCTTTCGTCATAGTATTCTAATCCAAGAGATGAAAAATAGATTCATACCATAATATTGTTTATTTTCACCTCTGAGGCTACAAAATCAAGCAATCATGACCTTACAACCAAATAATGATCAAACATCATCCACGAGCAACCACTGAAACTCTGTCCCGATCTTGAGACATATCAAATTTTACAATGTAAAAGCCAAACCCCACATCCACCATCTCAAAGTCCCCAAGAGGTTTCCATATAGCAATATATCCCTTATGACAAAGAAGCTCAAATACTTTCTTAACAACTTGATAATAATTGTGTCCTTCCAAGCTTCCAAATATCTTGAAGAAGAGACTCATCAATGTAACACTTTGGTCGGGGGTGATTCTCATCTTCAAATTCAATGTTGAACTTGTCAGTCAGTGTTAGATCAATTGATTCTCTCCTAGCAGGAATTTTTTAATCGCCCATCGTTAGGTCACAAAAGATTTCCTTCCCTTATTGCTTTCAACCCTGTGGTTTTAATTGAGGTTGTTACTTTCAACCCTATTTAATAGTTTTGATTGGAATTGTTACTTTCAACCCGGTTGATGGTTTTGATTGGGGTGGAACATCCTATTTTCTATCCACTTCATTCCCGTTTGCCATTTCTAATATATGTAGTTTTTCTCTTTCACTTTACTTTTCATTCTCTTAATTTTCTATCTCCCCTGCATCTAAAATCCTATAATTTGATTTTAAATTTGTACATTTAAAAAAAGATATTCTATTTAGAAAAAATAGTCTTATAAGCCTTCTCATTGTTATTAATATTTTAAAATGCTCATAATAAATAAATAATATATACTAAAATTATTTTTTATATGTATTCAAATTTGTATTAAAGAAAGAATTTATATGTTCAAAATATATTTATCGTAGAATGTTATTATAACTATATAAATCATGAATTCAAAATTATTTATTTTTCATAAATTTTAATTATATAAAATAAACATTTATTCGATATATTTCGCAAATTTAAGATAGTAACAAAGTATTCATCATTAACAATTTTTTACTATTTTAAACTTTTGAAAATTATAATTTTTTATATTTGAAAATTAACTTTCAACACAAATTATTAGTCTAATCGTGTTATTACTGCTAATAGTGTAAAGTTAAAGAAGACAAAATAAATTCAAAAAAAAAAAAAAAGACCAAATATTTAAATTTTCCTTCTAATAAGTCAGGCCACGTTTTTTTAATAGAATTATTTTGGTAACCTTTTTACCAATTATTATCTTTAAAATAATACAGATACTTTAAAACTTCAGCACAACAAAAAGAAAAATACACTCAATATTTGAAGTATTAAGATTATAAATAAAATAAACATAATTAATTCAAATAAACTTTAAAATATAAATTAAAAGAGCATCATTTATAAAAAAAAAAAAAAAAAAAAACAACATACATAATGAATTTAAAAGTTAATATTAGGAGAAAAAAAATTAACAAAGGCGAGTATTCATAAATTATCAATGACAAGTATTCTTAACCTAGATATATCTTCCAAATAAGATGCCCTAGTCGTTATTCAGTCATTCATTAGCATTTAGCAGTACCAGGGAATCGCATTTTCAACGCTTCAGCTTCATTCACATACACACACAGCACCAAAGAGCATCAACAAACTGAAAAGATAGTATTTTAGGATTTGGTTATTTATAAAGTTAACAGCAGGAAATACTAGCATATTAAAAGGCTGGCAAATGGCAATAGTAAAAGTAATATACCCACACACAATTTCATACCAAATAGAGCACGGCATTTACAAAGCCAACCAACCACACACACAACATTACTTTCCTAAGCTATTAGGAATGGCAGGACTGTCAGCATAAACGATTCATAGGAAAAGGTTGCAGAGCCAGAGTATGCAGTATCCTTCTCCTTGAATTTGTCAGTTAGACCCTGCAATACACAATTAAACAGTGAGATATTTCCATGGGAAAAAAAATACAAATGCATCAAGCTTCATTTAAACATAAACCTTTCACTAGAGCAGGACTTACGATTCATACTAAGGAATAGGACCAACTTGAATATGTTTAATGAATCACCTTAATTAACACTAAATTTCATGAAAAGGATCGTGTGCTTTTACTAATCTTACAAAGTCAACTATCTAGAAACAACGTGAAGCAGAACATGAAAACATAGGAACTTGTAATTTTTAAGTTCAACTCACTTCTCATTTAGCTACGGATGATAATATTTAGGAATCATTCAATCGATCAATCCTCATAGGTGATACTTATTTAGGAATCATTCAATCGATCAATCCTCATAGGTGATACTTATTTAGGAATTAATCCTTGTATAGTATAAAAAAAAACTAGTTTTAATTCCTATGCTACTTGAGCTTTTATTTCCTATAAAAGTTATACCCTGTAAATGCTCTCGGAGGGATCAAAGATTTAATTGAATTTCTTTTTTTCTCATTCCTAAATGAATGTTACGTAAACAGATGAAATGATTAATAATACCTTAAAAAACCTTATCCATGACATACCAAGCATTATCAGTGCTCGTGACAATAATGTTTAGCTTTGGAAACATGTAAGTTTTCTCAATAAACTAGCAAGATTTTAAAAGGTTCTAATGTTCTATATGGCTATGTAAAATATGCATGCCGTTCCATAAGCAGTATCTGATGCAATGCTGCTTAAGCCTGCTATCACTAGTTCATTACCATTGTCATTTTGTTTCTGTTCTTTTGACACTCGATAATAAATGAGAATATATAAATGAGAATATTAAGACGTAATCTTAATTGCAGAAACGGATAAATTAATAAATCACAATGATTTGATAGCTCACCTTAACAGTAAGAGAACACCTGCATTAGCAAACATGGAAATAGATCAATTTATAAACATTTAACACCAAAAATGAAAAGGTAAACATACTGCTGTTGTAAAGAGAATTTTTCAATTTTATTGAAAGTTTCTCCCATTTTAAATCTGAAAACTATGCTGCCTTCATTCTAAAACCTATAAAAAAAATATATGTATATTTTTAACAAAACCACTAAAAATACAAGTGTCTGAGCCTATGTGATTATTATGCAAGGACAATTTTCTTCTCTCTTGTTAGCTATAGTAAAACAAAACATTGGAATTTAAAAGAAAAGAAATAGAATAGACACCAAGTGGAGAATCCTTTTTCAAAGTATGAATATATTTGTGTCCAATAAAAGGATAAAGAATTGTAGAAAACCCATACTCGATGAAATTGTCATATTCTATAGCCTTGCTTTTTCCACCAGTTTTGTCAAACTTGGAGACGAGCAAATCCAATACCACAGGAGAAACAGCATAACCCATATTCAGCAGAGCATCTCGCAACTCAGTAGAATCAATTTTGCCACTTCTGTCCTTATCAAATCTCTCAAAAATGGACTGCAACAATAATCACTAAGTTAGAAGAATATGTTCCAATAAAAGAAGATAGCATGTCAGCCTGAAAATCAAGATCAACAAGGAATAAAAATAAAAAGGTCATACCCTCCAGTTCTGAAGACTGTAAAATAGAGATGTGAACTCCTTGGGTCCTGCAATGCATCAGGAAAAATTCTAACTGTAAATAGTCCTTTTTAGTTTGAAATCTTCATTACGTATACAAACTCTTCCAATTTTCAAATTATAACCTCAATATTTTACTAAATATCTAATTATTTATAGCAGGAGTTACATCAACAATCAGTTTCTGGGTCAACGCTTCACCTGCTACAATCCCAAATAATTGATTATGAACAGTAAAAAGTAAATTCAATTAGACAACATAGTGTTTTAAAATAAAATTCCACAGGCTTCTGTTTAACATATTTATTCAAGAAGCAGGGCAAATAATTTTCCAAATCTAATCCTAATAATCACCATTCAACACAACAAAATAAATTCTTATTAATTGAAAAGCAGTAATATTTCAGAAATATTTCTTAAATCAAACACAAAAAAGACTAAAATATAACCATTCATTAGTACAGTAGTTCAACTTAAAAAACAGTCATGGCATAGGCCGTCCTACTTTTATCCAACGCGCCACACCTAATCTAATAACACATTATGGCCAATTTTTTAACATTAATTTTTTTACACTTTTCCTAACATCTGAATTAACAAATTAAAAATAGCTATTACTCCATTCCTTGTAAGTGTCCCATTTTTAGAAAATTGTTTTTCTCATTTATTTGACATTTTTAAAATTCAAGATAACATTAATGATTATCCTGAATAAAATAACATGATTTTTTCAATTATACCCTTATTTTTACTTACTTTTTCATTTAATTTAGAAAATTATCATGAAAATTAAGACCAACTAATATACATTATTTGTAAAATATAAATTGCTTGAACCAGGCCTTGCACACAAATAAAAAATTGTAGAGTAGAAATGAAAAAAAAGGTACTACATAAAACTATTTTCACCGTCTTTTTATAATAATTGTCGTCGTAAGAAAAACAAATAAATACTAATAAACAGATGAAAAAAATATATAAATTTTATAAAATTAACTTTAAAAATAATCTTCTTTATTACAAAGAATACAGCAGTAAAATCACTTTCTATATAGAATTAATAAAAGAATAAAAAGAAAAGATAATTAATAACTCATTGAAAAGCCTTAATACTTCATTAAAAAGCCAATTATATTTGTGTGACAGGAGTATTCTATGAGAAATAGTAGAAAATTGATTGCATTTTTTATTTCTTACTACAAAACTTTAAAAAAGTAAAGGCTACAGTGTATAAAAAAAGTAACGGGGTTTGTAATCACTAATTACTAAGTATTTATATATTAAAAAAGAAGGAGTCAACGATTCTCAATGGTACAACAATCCATAAAAAAATGTACTGTAACAGCGTCACTCCATTCCGATTAAGTAATTACTTAAATTAAATTAAATTCATTTAAAATTAAATGAATTTAACCCTGTATTACCAAAAAAAAAAAAAAAAAGAATTTAACCCAAGAGAACATGCCACGTGGAAGAAACGAAACCAGCACACAGAGTGAATCCTTGGTGCTACAAAACAGGCGCCCACAGCGTCCCCACAAAAGTCAGATCCGAAATTAAACTCGCAACGAAACGACACCGCACGCTCCCCGCGACACTCGAAGAAACAAAAGGCAACACGCAAAAACAGTACCGCGTTACGCCATTTCCATTACGACACGCGTTTCTCATGCAGCAGGTAAACCAAAACCAAAACAAAAAATAAAATAAAATAAAATAAGAAACGCGTCATTTCGAAACCCTGCGCAGCTTAGCCCCGTGCGCCGGAAACCCCGACCCGCGGCGCAATTTAGCGGAAATTCTAGGTTTCGTTGATTTGGCGAAAGAGAGAGAGAGAGAGAGAGAGAGAGAGAGAGAGCGTACCTATCTTCTTGACGTTGGTGTTGGTGAAGTGATACATGAGAAGATGAACGGTTCTGAGGCTGAAGCTTTGGTTATACGAAGATAACGCTCTCTGCATTTCCTTGTCGTCGATGAAGCCGCTTCCGTCTTGATCCGCCAGCTGGAAGCACGCCACCACGTTCGGGTCCGTGCCGGGCGGGAACGCCGACGGCACCAGCGACGCGAAGGGGCTCGCGTACGGCGCCGGTGACGGGTAACCGCCGCCG